TCTTTCAATCTTCAATCTCAATCTTCAATGCGTAGTCTGAGGGGCTTCGCACTATAATAAATAGGTACAGGGAATAGAGAACAGAGAACAAGAATGTCAACCTATCAGAAACTGTGTAGTTCACAATACATGATTTCTGATAGGTTGAAATTCTTATTCTCTATTCCCTGTTCCTTTTATTGTGCAGACCCTCTAACAGGAAAAAAAACCGGCACGGCCTCTTTCAGATTTCTCTCTGGTCAGAGCATGCGCAGTGATATATTTAATTATTTTAATTGAAATGCATTGGACGCAATGTATAGAGTTATAGACACTACTGGTAATGGAATCTTGTAATTTACTGTTTACATTATGTGATGTAAACAAATATAATTTCAGCGTTGCATATTAAGACAGTAACGTATATCAAAACGTAACTTATGTATCGTTCACGTCCTATAAAATGCATTTTTTTAAATACATTTTGTAGAAGATGAACAATACATTTATGACTTTTGATTACAATTTCAAGATAAAGCTTCGGGGTATAAGTTCGATATTATACCCCAGAGCTCTGATTGGACGGCTCGTTATTCCCTGTTGCCTGTGCCTATTGCCTGTCTATTGTGTTTCCACTTAAGGGCCTGAGCACAATAGAGGAACAGGAATTAGATATTAAGATTTTAACCTATCAGAAACTGATTACATCGGAATACACGGTTTCTGATAGGTTGAAATCTTAATATCTAATTCTTGTTCCTCTATTGTGCGCAGGCCCTAACGCTGTTCGAAGAGCTCCCTACCAACGCTACGAACGCCATCCGTGACGTCATTGTCGACGTCATAGCGTTTGCCGCCATAACTTGCGCTACTGATATTCCATTTCGCTTCTTCTCTTTATTGTCGCTATCTGTCTGCACCGTTGAAATATGTCCATATAAGGGATTTAAATGGCCATTTAACAGAAAGTGACAGGAGTAGTATATATTATATGAGAAATAATAAAGTGATACGTGAGAAATAATAAAGTGTTTATCAGAATTTTTTAACAGTAAAGGAAGAATATTTCAAATTGGAGGTTAAATAATATCGATTAGTTAAAATAAAACGGATTGCTATATTATTATTAGTTCTCTTATTGCGTTTATATTTTGTAACTCTGACTATCATTGCAAATAAAAAAAGGTTAAGTTATAAGTACGAATCTCCTTATATTTCCTGAGAAATAAATATATATCAAGTTTAATTTCTATATTATTTTCTGTTTCAAATATATAGTATATTGTGTAGGTCTGTTATTTTTCGAAGGTCTGAACTTATTGCATTAGTGTACAGTGTACACCGGTTCAGAACTTACAGTGGAAAAAGAACAGACCTTATACAATAAAGTAGAAAAAGAGAAAAGGTTACAACCGAGAGAAGAAGTGAGATGGAATATCAGTGCCTTGATTGGTTACATACCTCGCTCGCGCATGTGCAGTTCATTTTTATCCACGGTGACATCAAAGATGCCGACTGAGAGTTGTGCTACTGTATATAGTATATACTGTGGTCAGGTTTCTTTCTGGCTTTTGGTAGTACTTATCTTTTACTGTCGTAAACTATCTGTAAGTTTTATTTTGTTTTGTTTGACAAGATATATTTTGATAATTACAGAAAGATATTGATATTCGTAGATATATTTATGTTTATGATTAATCCTTTTAGATATAAATCACATTTTTACATTGACACTTTTAAATTAACTGCTGGCAATGGCAACAAAACACAACTATAATTATGAAGAAATCTTGAAATGGCATCCGGAGATAATACTTACCTCAGAATCCCCTGTCACTTGGCAAGGCTTTCTACTTGTCTCAGAATTGTATTCTGCTGGGAATATTCGATGTCCCAGAGTAAAAGTGAAATTAGTTATGCCCAATTATCCATCATTTGATAAAGCGCAAATCAGCTTTGGCAAGCATATTGCTTTTCTGCGGAACATAGAATTCAGCAGAGAAGTGAAGAAGTCAATGAAGTCTAAAAAAAGAACTGTATCATCATTTTTGTCGCAGTTACAATTACTTACTGTAAGTAACAGGTATATTGCTTTGCTATTTTCTCTTTGACAATTATATTATACATTTTCAAAATAGGGTAAATATATACATAATACAAGTAGTAAAGTTTGTATACCGTTTGATTTTGAATCTACAAGAGACTTTTTATTTGATATAAAAGCAGCTGTTCAGAATCAGTCCGTAAGTAAATTTACAGCTGTATTTTTCTATAAATTCTTACATGATCTCGATGTTGAAGATGTATCTTATTAAAGGATGTGCAATTGTCATGCGATCGAAATCTGAATACTATCAAATTATCCTTAAGAGAAATATTTCTTACATTGCAAAGATGCAAAGATATTGACATTCCCTGGAAAGTAGTATCTTCTAACATGCCTGAAAACTTAGAGAAGATAGTATTGAGCAAAAATTTGAATGCTGTGGCGACAAAGTTCAAATGGCAAGTGGAAATATTGGAAAGAGCATGGGAACAATTGAAAGAAATTGACGAGTGAGTAATTTCATTATTTGTTTATATTTTCTGTATAAAAGAAAATTATATTTCATTCTACTGCTGAAAGAATTATCAAATAATTGATATAATGGAATATTCTAATGTGAAACATTACCAGGAATTGTTGGGTAATTGACCCACCAAAACCAAACAAAAGTCACGTGCACAGACGCATTCATTTGTCGCAATCTATATCTGTAACAATTACAATAGATCCCATTGCTCCTACTGTTGCGCCGACAATTCAGTTCTCAGGCAGCGATAACGAGGTGAAACGACAAATGGAAGATGTTTCCAATAATATTCATGTACGTTCTTGCATGATGTGAATAACAGTAATTTGTGTGCTTATACATAACTTAAAAATTAATACATCTTTTTACAGAACTGGAATCCGGATTGTAATATTTTAGATAATCTGAGGATGTTGTTAAATATGTACACATTTCCCGAGCAGCAGGACAGTTTGGACGATTTGCAAGGCATTATCAGTAATCGTGAATGTGGTATATGCTTCTCCGAAACATCGGAAACTGATGAATTGCCAAATAAGATATGCAATAATCAAAAGTGCATGAAACACTTTCATTCAGTATGTTTATCAAAGGTATGTCGGAGATCATAATATGTATTATACATTAATGTTCTTTATATAAAATGATAATTGTTTCAAAAGTCATTCAAAAATAAAATAGATAAATGGTAGACACTCTTAAAAGAATATAGTAAAATTAATCTGATATAAAATAAAATATACTTTAATAGAATTAATTTCTTTGACAGTGGTTACAAACTAACGCTGCGAATCAAGTTGTGTTTAGTCATATCTATGGCAATTGTCCACATTGCAAGGAAGATATTGCCTGTCCCATTGAATGTTGAAGGCAAATATTAACTTATTTTTTACAACACTGAGGTAAATTTTATTCAAATATATGTATGTGTGTATAATTCATTTCTTGGAGCCATTCTTTTACAGATTGGTTGAATTCTGAAGTACCACATATTAAAATTAATGTTGTTTTTATATCATTAGATTGAAGATAATCAGCAACGAGTACTTTGCTCAAACGACCAGTATTTATATTAAAACCATGAAGATTAACTGTCTTGTCTGAAACAATAATTTTAGAAAATATAATGAAGTACATTTAATCGTTTATATAATTAAAAAAAGTTCTTAATTTTAATCATCTACTTATGTTTAAAGGAATCATTGATATTTATTTAACTATCAAAGTATGAAAAATGTTATTTTTTGAATGCACTTATCATAGAACATTTTATATATATACAAGGTGTTAACAAAAATTGTTCAGAATGTATATGGTAGATAGTACATACCGTACTGAGTAAGAAAGATCATTGAACAGTTGAGCTTTCAACCTATGTTCATTAAAGCTTTTTTAATCAGTATGGTCTGTACATAGAAATGCTGAATAGTTTTTTAATACCTTGTATAATTTTAACTAAGTTCTTTTTCCACTCTTGAATTCAAATGTTACGTACCGTTTAACTGGGACAACTGTAATGTACATTTAAAATTCCAATAATTCGCTAAATGCGTTAACTCTTTTTGCAGAGGCACGTGCGCTACCGACCTAAATCCCATAACAAGATGCACTCTTGTCAGTTCTGTTTCGTCATCAACGATTGCCTTAGCAATGGGATAAAGCGCTGCTATTCCTGAGCCGATACCAAACATGGTAATCTGCTGAAAACTGTCGTAACAATGCGTTGATTCATGAGGAAAAAATAATATTTATTTATCCACTTCACACACCTGTTACTTTCATACTTGAAATCTCCGTAAGGACCCCTGATGTCAATTGCACTTCCAATTGATGCATTTTTCAGAAGTAAACTGAATTCGCCATGTTTATATAATTTTACCAAGAAAATTAAACTTTTGCATGTCCAAGCAATTGGAGTGTATGGTCGGGATTTGCTCCAAGAATGCAGCATGACATATTGGCCAGGTGTCAGATGTAAACTATTTTTTTCTATTTTGCATTCTATAACAAAAAAGTTTGCGAGAATCCATAAGAAGATTACATTATTACTATTTACATTCTATGTAACATATACAAAGTTTTTTTTTTATGTGAAATATGTTTAATGACATTTTAAATATTACAGTTTGCATTGCTTTTAAATATTACAATTTTTTAATAAGATATAAGTATAATTTTTCTTTGCTACAAGCTGTTGTATTTCCTATTAATTATTTGCAGTACACTTTATAGAATTTGTTACGTTTGTTATTAAGTTATTAAACTATTAAGTCATTAAACTATAATACCTGGATATTCCAAACAAATTAAAATGTAGTCTTTTGATGCATTAGATATATCTGTGATAACAAACGTTTTGTAGGATAAAAGAGATAATAAATTGTCAGTTGTTTTAACTTTTGCTCGAGTTTTTCTATTTTCCCATTCTTTTAGCAATGTTTTGTGAACGTCGAAGATACATGGCGTGCAGCCACTACCGCAACAATCTTCTTCCAGTGGTGTTTTGGGTCTGTGATCTTCATAATCATTGCTATTGTCTAAACTCATTTTATTACAAATTTCTTACTGCATTATATTAATAGAATCTTTTCTCTATCACAACATAACAAGTTAACCAAACTATATTTTTGCACAAGAAATTTAATAATAAATCATACTAAATTATAATTATTGCAAAATTTATTTTCACATGTTAAACATTTCATCAGTAGACTTATATAGAGAAGCATTTTACTTTATTTTGCAACATATCTTGCAAGGAAATTATAAAGATCAATTGACACATCGCAGACAGAACCACACACGTGCAACGGGTCACGTGACTATCTCAATCGACAGACTCGTGTGATGTAATAGAGGGTTCCCTGAAAGTTCTAATATATTTTAATTTTTTTCTGATAATTTATATTAATAGCATACAGTATATTTTGATAATATATTTTTATGCATATCTTTTTTAATTTTAAATAAATGTATGCAAGTATATTAAAGTCATTTAATAAAAAATTGTTTAGATTATATTATATATTTATACATTAATTATTATATATTATTATATATTAATATATATGTATATAATACAATCTGAACTTTATTAAATAATTAATAATAATAATAATCTAACTTTTTATTAAATGATTCTAACACATTTGCAATTTTATATTTAATATAAATGTATTACACACCATAATAATTATTAAACGTATTATATACATATTATATATTTTTAATTATGAACAGCTTTGTATTTTTCGAATGTTCTAATATAAGTTTTTCTGTGGTTTTTCTTATTCATGAAGTAAGCATATTACATAAGATATGTCGAGTCTGTAGACGTAAGAAGTTCATAAACTTTGTTAATGTTGTCATCTATATCAATTATGTAGATTAACTTTAATTTCGGTTTAATTTACTCTTTTCTAATGCTAGCAGAAAAAAAAAAATTACTCAAAATTAAAATTAATCTGCATTAATAGACGTTTATTTCTAGTCAATAATAAATTAATTTTAATCAGATTTTACTTTATTCTTTTATCTTTTCTAAGAATTAGAAAAAGATAAAGAATAAATTAACACAAAATTAAAGTTAATTTACGTTGGTAAAAAATGGTTCAGAAATAACAAGCATCACATTTCATTTTCAATATTTTTTTTCATGGCCCTAATATGGGCCCTGACGGTACCATTATATTCCCACGAGCTACGTACGCTACTTCGAATCTTAAAACTACTTTTGCGCGTGCGCAAAAAAAAATGCGTCCTCGTTCGCAACGACAGAGCCGCGCTGGCGTATTTACAAGGCTGCGGCCGCCGCGGGGAGCTTGGCGATCCTGCCGTAGCGGCGCGGCGGTCGGCCCGCATACCGTGCATTCCGGCGTAATGCTCGAGCGCACGCGGGCGAGGGTAGGGGCGTAAGGCGGGTATAGGCGCGGGTGAAGGAGGGCGGGAGTGGGGAGGGATGAGGACGAATAGCCGAGGCTGCCTGTCGTGTCAAACGGGCCGTGCCGCGCGCGCGCGTCCACCCGCCCGCATACCATTAGATTTTCGTGGTTTTCAATGGGTACGGATAACCGGCCGCGGCACGACGCGCCGACGACGTGAAGTGCCGTACGCGATCTCGACATCGCGTTCACCCGGGTGTCAGAGCGCGCGGTGACGGCGGACTACGGACCCCGGTGGGGCAAGAACGCAAGAAGTCGAGAACTGTCGCCGCGTGAAACTCGCGTATTTTTCGCAGGTGCGGCGCACAGTCGCGGGGCTACGCGGAGCGACGTCGGGGAGCGACGAGTCCACGGGTGAGTAAGAAAAAAAATAAAAGCATCTAATACGCACACGCGTGAAACGGCGTGCGCCCGCGCGCGCAATGCGAATGCCCGCACACGGACTGTCAAAATAAAAGCGACGCGGCGGGAATAAACGACGTGCCGGCGCACGTCCTCTCCGAGGAATGCCGCGCGTTTACGCGTCGTCGTTTTCTCTCTGTCTTTCTCGCCCTCTCGCTCTCTCTTTCTCTCTCTCTCTCGCGCTTGTTTTCTCCTCTTTTTTACTCCTCCCTTTTTCTCGTCTCTTTTTGCATTCTTCTACGCTACGCCGCATTCCTCTATTGATTCCCCGCGAACGTCGAGAGACGCGCCGCGCGGCGGTGGCGCCGACCGCGACGATCGCTCGGAGTAGCGCGCCCGACCCGTCGTCGTCGACGGTTTTTACTTCGTGAACTTTGAACCATCGGCGATTCGGAGGTTCGAAAAAAACCGCCTCGTGCGTTCGCGGGGTGATTGGCCGTTTCCGAGAGAGAGAGAAAGAGAGAGAGAGAGAGAGAGAGAGCGAGAGGGGGTGGGGGAGAAAAAGAGAGAGAAAGAGAGAGATAGAGAGAGAAAGAAAGAAAGACATATATACATCGAAAATTCTCACCGTCGCATTTGCTGATTTGCCAAAGGAATTTCGCAGCAGGTACACGATTTCCACCACAGCGAACGAATTCGCCTTTACGAAATTATTCTGAAAAAGTCAATCGAGGACGACACTTCCGAAGAGTGTTGTTTCGCGTCTCGAAATTTCGCAGCGATTTTTACGCTGAGAAATTCATTGCGTTTACCACGATAATTTTCTGCAAATCCAAGTGTGTAATCATACTACTAATAAGTACCTTTATATATGAATGTGATTTAATTTTCCGTAAAGATAATACGATATTACGTAGAAAAATGGATTTGTACATTCAAACGTGTCAATTAAATCACATCAAGGTACTTATTATTATAGTAGGTATTATTATAGTATTATTACCGTACATTTCAATTTGCAGTGTAGATCCCAGTTCTATAAATATAAAATTAACTTTAAACTTACGGTTTAACTTATTAATCTTTTCCTAATTCTAAGAATTTCTTAGAGTAAACAGTGAGTTTTTTAATTCTTAGAATTAGAAGAAAGATAAATAATAAATAAGTCTTGTGTGCGTTTCTACCAATGTAGGTTGACTTTAATCTCGGTTTAAATTATCCTTTACTCTTTTTTAATTCTTAAAACTAGAAAAAGATGAAGAGTTAATTGAATCGAGATTAGATTGGTAGAAACGGGCATAATCGTCTACATTATTACAATTCGTGCTTCATCGTTTGCAGTTTTACATACGAATCACACAAATTGGCTGATTCTTACACAGACAGGAAAATGTACTAAATTTTAATAACTAATTATTTGAATAGTATTATAATATAATATTTACAGAAAATAAATATTTACTAAATGATAAAAAGTCATAATTAAATCAATTTAATGGTTCTCGTACCAAATAAATATATGTTTACATTTAGTAAATATTTAATTGGTATTTAAACAAATATTTATTAAATAATGAGTAAGAAACAATGCCTATACCGATCGAAACCGAATTTTATTGTTAGTGCTTTAAATAATTCCATGTAAATTTATATACCACATTTGTAGTCTCTTGAACTGTGCGCTGAAATATTATACTTATTGAAATTTAGTGTAATATATTTTTCTCTCAATGCAATGGTTTGCGCCCTTTTTGATGTCATTAACAAATCGCTGAGCTTATAGTAGAACTGCATGGATGGTGGACAGTATAAGTGCGAACTCGACGAATCTGCTTATTCGCGCTATTCGTAAATATCATATGATTAACGAATCGCGAGTTATATGCAGTCTGGTGCTGGCTTAGGAGAAACGACGAGAGAAACTCAGCACGACATACCCGCACGTGCCTCGTACGTATCATGAAATCCAAATTCCATGGCGTTATGGAGATTGTGCGAAATATTGGCATTTTTTAAAATCGTGCTTAAAGAACACGATGGTTGAAATTCCGCCGCGGAATTTTATTCGGCCCTTTGTCGGGACTGGTATGATTTTTGGACGCGCGATTTTTGCGAATGCAAGAATTATGACTATATAATGATTCGTGCACAATTTATTTACCGCATTCACATCACCTTCCTGTATCTTCTTACTGTTTTACTATCGTCTTTTTAATTTTATCTCTCTGATATTCATTTATACTAATGTAGATTAACTTTCATCTCGGTTTAACTTATCTGTTTTTAATTCTTGAAATTAAAAGCAAATAAAAAGTGAATTAAACCAAGATTAAAGTTAATCTACTTATTAGTAA